ATGCTTAAAATTTATGATGATCAATTATTTAATTCAAATTTAACACACTTCTTACAGTGATCACTTGACATCTACTATACAGCAAAGCAATATTTACTTGTCTACCTTTTTAAATTTTGATATTTGGTATGTAATGAATTAATAAATAACTATAATTAACAATTAAATTATTTTAGAATCACAAATAACAATAATTAATAATCAATTATTGATAAAAGTTAATGTTAATGGATAGAAAATTTTCTTAGGCATACACTGTTTGTATCCACAGATAAGATTATTGCTCTAATTTTATGAAAGAAGTACCTTTACAATGTTCACTATTCTATTAGATTACAAGCAAAATAAAAAAATCACAATAAACCAATTTATAAGTTTTTCTTTTCCAAACAATTTTGAGATTGTAAAACAAAATTAAGAGGTTGAATGTAGTAAAACCCTACATTGAAAATAAACATTAACAGTTGAAAACTCAAATGCAAAAGGTATCTCCAATACTTTTTATCTCAAAAAAAGTTAATAAATCCAATTAAAAATTTGATCATTTTTGTTTAAAAATTAAACATCACAAAAATATGTCAGAATCATATCATGTTAATATAATATTGAAATAAATAAATTTGTTTTTTTTTTTTAATTTTGATATTCACTAATACTTAAGAAGATATCACATACATTTTAATTAAGAAAGAAAATCCTGTTTTTGGCAATTTTGAGTATAATCAAATATATTTTTTTTTTCCAATCATTAATGTTTAAATTAATATTAATTAAATTATAGACAATTTTATGTGTAGTAAAAATAATCAAATCATATCATAATAATAATAATTTGGTTTTGTAACTATTGGTTTGTACATACATTAAATGAGTTAAGCAATAATTAATATGTACATTAAATCAATGATTATTGATTATGTATTATATGATAAAAATATCAATGAAAATGTAGTCAAATACAATATCCATGTTTATTAGTCAATATACATAATATTAACATACAAATCAATACTATATCGTATTCATTGTCATAAATTGGAAAACAGGTTATACATTCAACTTGTTTTTTTTTTTAATTTATTCAAAATACTTTTAGTTTTAGAAAGAAATAAAAATTATTTAAAAAAAAAAAAAAGTATAACGTAAATGAATCAACGTCTTTCTGTTTTACCAATGCCTCTTTTACCAGCATACAAGTGTTTTGGTCGTTTAGTTCCAATGAATCTATCAGCTTCACCCTTGAGACCTTGTTTTTTAACTTTCTTCGCAATTGCTTTATGCGCCACTTTTTTAAGTTTCAATTGCATCTGAAAAAATTTATTGCAAATAATATGAGTATGCATATACATTCATATGTATTGAAAGTAATTTATATGAAGACATATAGTAAGAAAATAGAAATAATACATACCGAAGAGTCACGAACACCAGATTGATCTCTTGGTAATCTACTCTGACTTCTTGATGTAGATACTGAACGTTGCATAGATCCCAAACGTGGTTTTTTGGCATTTGTTCTTGACTGAGATCTTGTTAATGAACGAGCACGGCCACGAGTTTTTGTAAAATGAGCCTAAAAATACAAATAATGTATTTGATTTAGAGTAGGTACATTTAAGATTAAAATAATTAAAATTTATTACTTCATCAGTGCCTTCCATGTCAACACCAAGATCTTCCATGCGGTTTCTGAAGTCTGTAGCACTGCGACCACGGGCTCGAGCTGGGGCAGTTCTAGGTGTTGTAGGCTTACTAGATTGTCGAGATATTCTACTTTCATTGCGGTTAATAATCTTTCGATCCCTAATCTTTTGAGCCAGTTCTTTAATTTCTCGCAAAGTTTCATCAATTTCAATTTTAGGTACAGCATAATATCCAGCTTCTTCTCGAAGTGCTTCTTCTTTTTCAAGTTCTTCAACTTTCTAAATTTTAATCATAAAAAAGTTCAAAGTTTAATCAACTATTTATAATTGTATTTATTTACAAGTAAATTTAATAAGTTGATAATTTTATTAAAAATATTTTACCTGCAATAACTCTGCATGAATGAAATCTGCAATGTTTCTTCCATTCCAAAATTCTGGTATTACGTCATATTTAATATCATCAGGTAGATCATAATTCTTCTTAAGATCCAAAACATAATCATCTCCAAGTTCATCTTCCAAATTTTTCTCGAGTTTCTTCTTAAATTCTTGAAGCTCAGCCAATCTTTGTTTTTGTAATACCATTTCTATTGAAAACAAATATATTATTGAAAAATTAAAAATTAATTTAATAAAATAAATTAAATATACCGGGTATACAAGGTGGTCGCACTTTTTCATCACGAGTTTTAGGTAGTGCTACATGTAAACGGTTCAAAATTGAATCAACTTTCTTAGCTTGGATTTTGTTTTCAATGCGATAAGCTAAGAGAGTATCACATGCCTAATGGTAAAACCAAAATTATAAACATGGAATATTAAGAAAATAAATATCAAAATTACCTGTTGTTTAACTTCCATAACACCTTCATCGGTTACAGCAGACATTGACAAAAGTGGGACATTATTTTTTTCAAAAATACTTAATGCTTCACGATTAGCCTCACTTAACTGATCCATAGGTGTAACATCAACTTTGTTACACACGACCAATAATGGCTATAATAAAATTTATTTAAGATATATAATACAAAATTTTACATATTTAATAAATATAAATACAATTAAATTAGCAGAAAACATTTTATCAACATAGCTTATTGCATTTATTTGATATATATTTTTAATTTTTAATGAAAAATAAAAAACAAAACTAAGATTTTGAATTACTAATAAAATTGAGAAAAATATTTGTATGACTTACCTTGTTAGTAAATAATGGTTTTATAGACTCGTAAAGCTTAACTTGTTCTGCAATTGAGTGACCACATTGTTCAGAAACATCTATGAAATAAAGAATAGCAGCTCTTAAATGAGCCAAAGCAGTAACAGCCTGCATTTCAATAACATTTCTTTCTTCTAAAGGATGATCCAATACTCCTGGAGTATCTACAACTTGCCAACGTAAATATTTGTAATCTGTGTGTCCAACGTACAAACTTTTAGTTGTAAATGCGTATGAATGGACTTCTACATCAGCTCTTGTTATCTTTAAAAAAATATAGGATATAAAAATTTATAAATGACTCAAAAAAGAACTTAAAATTGTTTACCTTATTTAAAAAACTGGATTTTCCAACATTAGGAAATCCACATAATATTAATGTTCTAGTGTATGGATCAATTGATGGCAAACGTGATAAATGCTGACGAACTTGTTCTAAATAAACTAAATTGGGAGCTTGTCTTTTCATAATTGTAGCCATCCTTTAAAATGTTAAAAATAAATTAATACTGTTAATTTGATTTTATAAGTACATTAGAATAATTTACCGTCCAAGAGCTGCTTTCTTCAGCATTTTACAGCGATATAATGAATCTCCAAACTTCATGAGACGAACATAATCTTTACCAACACTACAAACAAAATTTTACTTTATGTTTTATGCTAACACAATTATAATTATAAAATAAGAAAATTACTTGTCAATAAGATGTCTTGCTTGATTAAGTTGTCCAAGAGCAAGCTTGTAATGGTCTTTATCGTAAAGTATATTCATTAAATCAGCATAAAATGGATGAATATTCTGTAAAAATTTCCAAATAAAAAAAATTATATAATAAAATATGTTATTAACTAAAATTTAAAATAATACATACATCTAATTTGGGAAATTCTTGAATGATCATTGACAAGCGTTCATTAAAATTCTGTTGAGTATATCGAACTTTACGTGTATAAAAAGATCTTATTCTGGATATTTTGTAATGTTTGTGCACAACAGTTGGAGTCTTACGTTGAGTTTTTGATAACATAATGTTAACAAAGTCCTGAAAAAAAAAACCAATAAAAGGATTAAATAAGTTAACTTCAACTATGTATGACTATATAATACAAAATATTTTGTTACCTTTGCGGTAGGTACAACCGTGATCTTTTTGAAGTTGTACAAAGGCATATTGTCTGATTGATTAATTTAAATTATATTAAATAAAATACTAATGAAAGTTAGTAAATGAATAAATTTAAAAGGTACCTAACGTTTAATACCTTCTGCGTTTTAATTTTTCGTAAAAAGGAAAGAAAATATTATCATAACATTCATAACCTTACTTGACAATTTGATATAGCACACGTTTTTTTATTACGGTTTAGCCAACGCTTACATATTTATTATCTTTTATCAATTAAAAAAAAAAAATTATTTAATAATGTATATAAAATAATATTTAAAAAAACTTAATTAAATTAAAATATGATCCTGATTTATATCATTGTATGTACAAAATATATTTTTATAATTTAATTATTTCAATATAAGATTTTTTAGTCTTAAATTCTATTACCTACTATTGATAATTTCGTTACTAATTTCATACTTATTTGTCTACTATGTTTGTATTAAAAAAAATAATTGTCTCAATGTTTAACATTTAAAAACTTATTTAATAATCACTGACCGTGATTGAGGCTAGGACGAAATATATTAGTAGGTAAGACCTAGAATACTGACATGTATTTAATCATGAATGCCATGAACCCCACTAATTTTTAAGTATAATATGCGTTTTACAGTACAAATATCTAGAATACTTTAAATTGAAAGTAACATTTAAATGTTTCACTAAATTTATTTCATGTCATTGAGTCATGACAAAATAAATTTAAATAACATTGTTATGTTTTTAATACATTGTATGTGTTTCTAGCTTTTGAAATCTAAAATACACATAATAAATTGTTAAAAACACAATATTTAAAAATTATCTTATCAATTAAAAACAATAATATCGTGATATTATTGTTTATTCCATGATTGGGATAAAGCATTACTCTTTATCACTTTTTGGTCTATACCGACTGAACGCAAATGGTACAATTGTGCGTGAGAATATTATGACCAATCGCAAGCAAGACTTTAAAGTACTGTAAACACTATACAGTATTGAGTATTAACACTGTAAACTATAAACGCTTTTTCACGTTAAACACCGGTGACTGAACGAATTAGTCAAATAGGCACTTTTTAGTTTTTTAATTTTTTACCGTCGACTGTTGTCGATTACTTACTAGTCATTTATTGTTTAATTTCTTTAAAAATTATCACAAACTTTTATCATGAGTAAAGCACATCCTCCAGAGTTGAAAAGGTAATTCGCTTAAGTCATTGTCTTGTTTAAATATTGTTCATGACTTGTTCTGTCTAATTCACCTTTTAATCTTCACCAATTATTATTTACTATAATTGTATTTTAAGTCATTAATTGATTCACTTTTTACATGATTAATAAACTTTTTTTATACTTGTAAAAAAAAATTAAAAACATTACTACTGAATATTTAAACATTTTTATTTTTTTCAGATATTTGGACAAGAAATTGCAATGTAAGAATGCTCTATTATTACCAGAATTATATTAAACTCTTTTTTTTTTTAATAATAAGTTTAATTAATTTTTTTTACAGTAAAATTAAATGCCAATAGACAGGTAGCAGGTGTGCTACGTGGTTTTGATCCATTTATGAATCTTGTGTTAGATGAAACTGTAGAAAAAATCAAGGATGGTGTTGTAAATAGTATTGGGATGGTGGTATGTTATTTTTGTTAATTATAAAAATTAAATAAATATAACATTTATTTAAATTAACTTATCATTTACAGGTTATAAGAGGAGATAGTGTTTTAACTATAGAAGCATTGGACCGGATTGATCAACATTAAACAATAAGCACATTTTTTTTCTGTTAATAAATATGAAGTATGTTTTACAAATATTCTTATGTAATAAATTGATTTAAATATAAAAGTTCATTAGCTTGTACATATTATACGAGTATATATATATATATATATAAAAAAAAAACCTTTTTTCTTTTACATTTAATATATTCAAGTGACATTATTATGGATTTGCACATTAAAATTTTACAAAGTATAAAATAACACCAAATTTATTGTATTTACATAATGAAAGTCTTATTGACGCTATAGTTAAACAATTGTTTATAAACAATTTTAATACAGTTTAAAAGACATAATAAACTTCAATATTTTTTTCTGGTAAAATTGTTTGCATTTCATTTTTTTTCTTTGTAGTATTTTCTAATATATCTGTGCTTAAATTACATGTCATATTAGTTATTTGTTTCTCTACATTTTCTAATAAATCACTATTATTGCATTCATCAATTATTTCTAATGTGTCCATCATTAATTTTTTTAATCTTAGTCTCACACTTTTAAGGTTTTCTGCTTTCATGTTTTGTTTATAAATTTCATTGTTTTCTGATTGATTTTTTTTAAGAGGTAGTGATTTAGAAGATTCTATGCAATTTTGTGTATACTTAGTATGATCTTGATTCCCATATAAAGATCTTTCTATGTGATTTTCATACTGACAGTTCTGTGAATTTGCTTGAAAGAGTACAGTTAAATGAACGTGTTCACAAATAATTTTTTTTGAGATATAATCTGAGCAATTACAAGAGTATGCATGGTAACAAATATTACAATAGCTACAATAAGATTTACAATCATCACTAGAACATAATAGTACATCATTTTTAGTGACATCATGAATATCTTGGTTATAATTATTTGAAGAATGTGTTGTAACTAAATTATTTTCCATAGAAATTCTCCAAGCATCTTTACGAATTAGGCTTACAAGAGATAATGGGAGTTGTGAAGCAATAAAATGTTTTTTGTTAGCCACAGTTGTATTTGGTATACAATCCGGAAGGTAAGGTGAAATTGTTTTTTGGTCATGTTCATAATTTTTTTTCTTTTTTGATGGCTGTACTTTAGGCAATATAATATTAACATTATATTTTTTAGAAATGTTTAGTATATCTCTTCTTTTTATTAAATGTTTTCGTTCAGTTTGTTTAGATGATCCATCTTCTTTATATGATGTCAATATATCTTCAATGTTAACCCCTTGTAATAATTTGGAAGCTATTTCTTGTTTATCACTTTTAGGAATTCGTAAATGTACAAGTTCGGCTTCATGTCCATAATGTGTATGGTAAATAATAGCTTGAACAGTGTCATCAATTTTATTTACAGTTAATGTTATTGAAGATGTACAATTATTATTAATTTTAAGAATTCCTTGAGATTTTAACTTTCGCCTACGACTTTGTAATGTACTATTGTAACTACCTGAACGGTTGCAATACCAATACTCCACTCTACGTCCACTACGTGTTAAATTTTTACGATGATAAAAGCAACTGCGAGTTTCTGTTTCATACTTAACTTTCCAATTTAAAAAATCTGAAAATAACATAATATTAAATTAGTTATAGTTATAACTTCAAATTAAAAAGTAATTTAATTCACAACAATATATTATTATTTTTTTCTCTAATTTGATTTTAAAACAAAATATATATGAATGGGAAAAAAAATAGTTATTTATAAATATATACAGTATAAATCAGTTATAATGATTTTTTGTTGTTGTGATGAGTAGCTTGTTTTATGCAATTTCAATTATAATGACTAATGAGCATTGGTTGTAACCAGTTAGAAGCAGAAAATGAAATAGACAATTTTGTTTAACTTAGAATTAAAATTAATACTGTATTTACTTGAATGTAAATATTATTTATTATTATTAAAGATACACACATATTAATTCATACTTGATTTAATATGACATAAATTTGTACATAAAATTAAATAACATAACTTAAAATTTTCCTACACTTGAATTTAATTTTTGTTCAAACTTTGGTTCATGAAGTACTTAATGTCAATCGAATTTCCTCATAAAAACTCTTTCCTATCATCGTCAGTTTCTTCATAATAAAAGTTTTTGAGTTATTAATGCAGGGTGATCTTTAGGCTCAGCTTTGTTAATAGTACTGTTCAATAATGGCCAAAAACTAACGACCTACTAGTAGTAACTGGAAGTTTGTTTATATATACTTTGTTTTATTTTAAATGATATAACACTTATAACCAGTATCTCATTTTTAACTAAACTCAATGTAAACATATATTTTAATTTAATACACTATTAAATGAACTTATGTCAAAACCTAGCATTTTGCATATTGTAAGCAGTGTTTTTTCTAATTGATGTTCGTTAAAGTAAATTTTTACTGTATTAATATTAATATTATACAATTTAATTGACATGCTAATATAAAAATTTTGTTCAAAAGGTTTAATTTTAAAAATGTATTACTAAGTAAATTGGAAACCATAAAAGGTTAATGATATAAATTAGATATATTAAGTTATATTAGAAGAATCATTAATTAAAATTGTATTCTGCTAATATTACATCTATAATTTTCAATAGAAAAATGTTAAATTTTTAAGCTATTTAAATTAATATAATTAAATTTTCAAGTAAAATATAAAACTGAAGTATTCCATATAATTTACCAGCATAACTGTTAAACTTTTTTTCCTCAACTTCAAATTGTATTTGGTGTTTTTCATTTAAATGTTGTCGAAAATCTCTTATGTACTTGAACGTCAATAAGCATCCAGGTTCGTTACATTTAGTTTTCCCAGTTACAATTTGTTGTTCAGGACGTAGCTTACACTTTTTTATATGTCTGTAATAACCACCTTTAGACAGAAATCGCTTTTCACATCCACATTTGAATCGTTCTGTTAACTGAATCTTATTAACATTTAGATTATCATTTATAGAATAGATTTCACATTTTGAAATTGCCAATTGTAACAAATCTTTTTTTGTAGGGTTTTGGGCATATTTACATAGGCTAACATGTTTCCGTACTTGACGTTTTTGGCTATAAGATTGATTACATACGCAAAAATAATGTGTAGCAAATTTGTTTTTTGACATTTTAAATGTAAATACTATAATTTTTATGGTATATTATAGAAGCAAACTTCAATTTTACAATAATAAATTTTGGTTTGTAATTTATCACTTTCATGTTAATTATAAAAAATATCAACTATCAAGTATCAACAAATGAATTTTGTTCAAACAATTATTAATTTTTACTTTAGGATTTGGATTATTTGGAATTTGGATTATCATGTTATCAATAACTAAACATCCAATTACAATAGTAGAAAAAATAAAAATGGTAACTCAATGAATCATTCTTATAATTTTATCTATTCTGTGCATAGATAATAAAAGCAATATTCGTGCCATTTATAGACATAGACATAACCTATGTTGCCATATTAAAACAAATTAATCGGTCTTAAATGATTTAATTCATTTAATTCGTAATTTGTAATTCATAAAAAGAATTAAAGTTAAAACATGGAAAGGCAACACTGCAGTAAAATAATTTTATTGGTACTAAGCATGAACTAAGATATACATATATATCTTAGTTCATGGTACTAAGGTAAGATAAGAGATAAATGATAATTTATCACAAAACAATTATAATATTTACCATGATTACAGGTCTTGCCTCGTGCTCATGAGTTGTTAATGGTGAAGTTATTTTTTTTTTAAATACTTTATTATTTTTATAGTTACTTATTTAATGGCTCTACCTGATTCTATGTTTATTGTTTAATTATTAGTTAATAGTTATCACTTATCAACATTAATTAAAACTTAACTAGTAACTAATAAGAGGATTACAAGAATATAAAGAAATCTATAAAAAGTAAGTTATAGTTTGAAAAATTACTAACACATTTAAATATTATAAATAAATAATTTACTTTACTAGATTTAGTAAATATTACGCATAAATTTGACCAGTCAAAAAATATTACATTAAAATATTCTTGTTTTAAATTTCTATTAATCTGTTCTATTAATCTTGTATATACTTATATAACCATCACATCCAAATTAATGTTTAGTAAGTCAATGCATTTTTAAATCTCATGCGTAATATTTTATTGAATATACTTTTTATAAAATGTATTTATGAATTCTAATTTAATATATATATTTTTTTTTTTATAAAGTTAAAAATGCCTAAAACAAGCTCCGCTTCTAAGGCGCCTAGAACTCAAGGGTTCAATAGGTCAGCCCATAGTATGAATCCTGAACGTAAAACAGAAAATCTTAAAGGTGTGGCAAAGGTGAGAACAAAAGCCACTATTCGAAGATTGCAAATGTATAGAAACTTCAAAGCTAAACGTGATAGGAAAGGTAAAATCATTCATGCAGCACCATTTCAAGGTTGGTTACCATGTGGTGCTCAGGCTCGTGTAGAACCTAATCGTAAATGGTTTGATAATACTAGAGTTATAGGGCAAAATGCTTTACAAAAATTTCAAGAAGAATTAGGTAAAGCAGTTAAAAACCCCTATGATATTATTATGAAACCTACTGGATTGCCAATTACTCTTTTAAATGAAAAGAAAAAACATGAACGCGTACATATTCTTGAAACTGAAAGTTTTGAAAGTGTATTTGGTTCCAAAAAAACCCGAAAGCGTCCTAATCTATATGTAAGGGATGAACAACAATTATCAGAAACTGTAAATTCTATCAATGAATCATATTCAGATGACAAAGATTTAGATTTGGAAAGAGAAGATACAGGAGAAAGAACTGCTCCTCGCGATTGGATAATGGCTGCTGGTCAAAGTAGACGAATTTGGAATGAATTGTATAAAGTAATTGACTCATCAGATGTCGTTGTAATGGTTTTGGATGTGAGGGATCCTACTGGAACACGTTGTCCTCATATTGAAAATTTTTTAAAAAAAGAAAAACCTCATAAACATTTAATATTTGTATTAAACAAAGTTGATCTTGTACCTGTGTGGGTTACTCAAAGATGGGTTGCTATTCTTAGTTCTGAATATCCAACTGTAGCATTTCATGCTTCGCTAACTCATCCTTTTGGAAAAGGTGCCGTGATTAATTTAATGCGACAGTTTACAAAATTACATTCTGAACGTAAACAAATTAGTGTTGGTTTCATTGGATATCCTAATGTTGGTAAGAGTTCAGTTATCAATGCCTTACGATCTAAAAAGGTTTGTAAAGTAGCTCCTATTGCTGGTGAAACTAAAGTATGGCAATATATAACATTGATGAAAAGGATTTTTCTCATCGATTGTCCAGGAGTAGTATATGATGCCGCTAATACAGAAACGGATACAGAAAAAGTATTAAAGGGTGTTGTAAGAGTTGAACTTGTGCCAGATCCTGAGCAATATATACCATCTTTAATGGAGCGAGTAAAAACTGAACATTTGTCTAAAACTTATGGAATAGAAAGTTGGGAAGATCATGAAGATTTTTTGTCACAGTTAGGTATAAAAACTGGAAAATTGTTAAAAGGTGGTGATGCGGACTTAGCCTTATGTGCTAGAATGGTATTAAATGATTGGCAAAGAGGAAAAATTCCTTATTATAAACCTCCGCCTGGATTTGAAGAACCTTTATCAGCTAATGATCAAGAACCAATAACTAAAAGAGCTGACTTGAACGTTGCTGTAGAAAATGATTCTGATGATGAAACAGTAGATACTCCTTTACCTGCCGAAGAAGATGAAAATGCTACTTCAACTGATAGTGATGAAGAAGAAGAAAGAAAGAAAGAAAAACAAGAAAAACTGCAAGAAGCACATGAGGCTTATATGAGTAGTCTAACTAGCAAACAAAAAAGAAGCTTAATGTTACGAAATAAAAGGAAAAAGGTTGGGAGTGATTTTTATGATGTTACAAATGTTAAAAATCGTAATAGAGATCGTAAAGTACCAAAAAACAAATAAAATTAATTTGTTTAAAATATATATTTTTCATATTAAAATGTGCTGTGTTTTTTATTTTAATTTAATAAGTACTTCTATATTTTATTATAAACATTTTTGTGCAAAGGGTATTTCTATTGAAATAAATTTGTGAAGAAATAACTGATAGTTATTGATATTATGTTTGATATTTTATTTATAAGTGATTAAATAGGATCAAAAATTGCTGGAAAGACATTATCATTTATTTATTAAGTCTTATTTTATAAGAAATATAAATACAGCAGAAACATTCAAAAGACCAAAGAAAATAGGTCATAATAACTGGTTGTTATTATAACCAAAATTACAAAAAAAAAAAAAAAAATATTATTTTAGAATTAAATTTACAACATTGTGTTAAAAAAATCTTTTAATTTAGATTGAACTATGTTTGTATAAAGATCACGCTTACTCAAAACAGTTAACCATATGACGATTACCATACACTCGTATACAATCGATAAAATTAAATTAAAAACTGATGACAAAACACAACAATGAAAGTATTGGTGTTATTGGATGTAATAGTACCTTCGGCAAAATAAAATTTTTATAGATAAAAGATTTTTCTAAAATAACCAAAAATAACATTCGTATAATTATACAGATGCTATTATACAAATTAGTATATACAATAATACAATATAAAAATGTTACTAGAACTTCAATCTAAGATCATTACACCCAATATGTCACTATAGCTAGTGTCATTATAAACGGTTTCTATTGTAGTCAATAAAATTTAAATATTAATTTACAGACATTCAGTAATTAGTACATAATGAACTTTTTATTTCGATTGTATGAACATTTTCGATTTGGTCACTTATATACCCCGTAAGTATTCCTCACAAATCAAAAATAAATAGAAATAATAATTCAAAACCAAACAATTATTCACTAGGTATACTTGGATTAAAAAGGAAAACATTTATTTTTAATTATAAAATAATATATTATTTACATAATAAAATCAACACTAAAATTCAATAAAATAAGATAATCCATCTTACTTCCTAAAAAATTATCTAATGAATAGTTGACTTGCTTAAAACTTAAAATATCTGACATAAATTTTATTTTATTTTTTTACCAAAAATGTTTAAACAACAATTAAAATTATTTACTCTTACATTTAATTATTATTAAAGGATATATAATATGTACACTAACTAAATACATATATTATTAAAATAACCCTGTTTTACGAGGTAAAAATCTATTACAACTAAATGATTCACATAAGCATTTAACATCGGACAAAGTATTTTGAGGGAGAGATCCTTCACCTCCATAATGATATGTTATTTCTTCATTACATTGAATATCTTTTATTGCAAAAATTGCTAGCCTTGGAATTAACGAATCAACCCGCACTGGCACAATCATACAATTAGGTTCACAGCTATGATTAATATATCGACCAATATTTCCAATAACTGTGGAATCAATTACGGTTGTGGTTACATGACCAAAAAAATGTTCATTTATCACAAATATATAATTTTCATTATCTGAATTTGAACGTCTCTGTGCTTCCGTTAAATCAATTATTTCACCGGCATATTCACAAACAAATTGTCCTTTTTCAATAACAATATCGGTAAATAATCCATAGCCTTTGTTACAGTGAGAAATGCGTAAACCAATTCTTGGTCCAAGTTGAACAATTCGATTTTGACATGAAGTACACTTGCATAAATCATTACATTCATAAATAGACCTATTAATTGAGATTAGCTTACCAAAATTATCATAATTATTATAGCCAGCTATACCTAAGCATTCACAGCTAGGTGTTTGACACAAATTATTAGTACAGTTACACATTTGATTGGGACAGCTATTTAAATCATTCATATTACAGCCAGGTCCTGGAATGTTTGTTGAAGAATATATAAGTGAATTATCAATATGATCGTAATAATCTTCACTTTGATTATTACTATACATTATTAAGTATATTTATTTGTATTTGCTATTATTTATAACTGAAAAAAAAAAAAGAATATGCCATAAATAAAAAATAAATAGAAAGAAAATAATTAGTTTGTATACTTCAAATTACAAAAAAGAAAACACTTAAATTGCACAATGTTCAACAGTATAGTACAATTTTATTTCATATCCTAAGTCAGGTTAGGTTGTAACTACTAATTTTTGTACATTTTAGTCAGACCAAATCTTTAGATAAATCAATTTTCACTGTCAGTTTTAATAATTTCTGTCAATCAGTCATGACCAAAATATTACTTTACTATGTTAATCTTAGCAAAATACAAGCTAAATAGTTGTTAGAATAATAAAGTGGCTTATGTTAGCCACACTCATTGCTACTGCTAAGCATAGAAACCTGCTGCTGCAGCACTACCTTTAAGTTTATTTAAGATTAAGACAGTATAGTTTTAATTTCAAAATAAAAATTCACAAAAAAAAAAAAAATGCATTCTATTTATGATTCTTAAATTTGTAAAAGAGTTTAAGTATTAATGTTTGTTTTTACTTTGAAAATGTTTTTCACACTATTAGTTTTAATCTAATGATCAGATTTATTCTGAAGTATTCATAATGGTTTAGTTGAGTAGTTACATCTAAATTGATACTGAATAGCGACTTAATATTCACTTCATTTCAACTAGTGGCGCTGAATCTATACATGAATTGAAGCGATCGATTCATATAATAAAGAGAGTAGGTGGTTTAATTTGTATGTGTGTTTTTGTTTTTACATTAAATATTACTTATACTAAATAATTAAATAAATAACTTAAGTTATTAATTATTAGAGGTAGACAATATTCTCAGTGAGAGTAAGTGTACAAATATTTTTATTTTGCTTCACTTAAATTTATATCATTCAGCGCCACTAATTTCAACATTACACACAACTAGGAGCATTCAAATTTAGTTAACATAGAAGATAAGATAAAAAATATTCAAAATTGATATCTATACATACCATAAAATATATATAATGGAATAATGATTGTTGATAGTTTAATGTAATTTTATAAATTTCCCTTGAACATATGTAGAAGTAACTGCATCATAAGCCATCCTTGATAATGATTTCACACCTGGGATCTTTGAAACACCCCACAAAAGTAAACCATAAGCAGAAACCTTTATGACAACTTTGATAATTTTGCTACTTCTTGATTGAGGTGGAACTCTAAACAAAAATATATCAACAATTTAGATTAAAATATTTTTCTTAAATTAATTGTATGCAATATAAGACTATATGCTTTTATTTAATTTTAAACTTTAATAATAGTAAGTATAATTTGTTGATACTTATTTGTAATTGCCCCACTACTAAACGGTATAAAATTTAACATTCCACCATCAGATAGTCATCTATCGAACTATTATATTTCTTATAAAGCATAATAAAACATTTAAATAATGATTAATAATAATTATAGTAAATTATTAACAATTAATAATAGTATAGTTAACAACAACTAATATTTCATAGTAATGTTAAAAAAAATGAGACGCTTTTCTAAAGATCCTTAAATATAATTTATAAATTAATAACATTTTATTTGTTCAAATAATAATTTTTGCTGTAAATATTGAATACCAGTTTTTAACATTGAAGGAAATTACTCATTAAATTTTATTTTTAATAATATTTTTAAGTAAGTTAATACTTCTTATAAAAAGATATAAATTTTAAATTAAAATTACACACAATATAGTGAACATAATATATTAATATAATAAACAGAATAAAATACTTTAGTAATTATCCTTAAATAGATAATATATTAGAATAACCTATGTGTAAGAATATCTTAGAAATGCAGATATTGATTTAGATTATTAAAATTTTAGATGGTGGTGGAGCGATAACAAACAAGTGACATTTTGTCCATGCTGTATGTACAGAAATTAATCAAAGATACTTAATAAAACCAACTAATAACTTACATAATTAGTTCTGAAATTTGTTCATCAGTTATTTTTTCCCAATATTTTTTAATACCGGCAACATGACCTAATCCGACTACGCCAACAACAACTTGAGGTTCTATTTAAATTATAATTGTTATTGTTATTATTCAAAGATTTACAAATAAACATATAATCATTTTAAATTTAGTATATTACTAACTTGAATTACATATATTTTGCCTATTTCCAGTTTTATCAATTACAAATCCAGCACAATTTTGTAAACTATAAGTTAAAAATTTATCTCTTTCGTCAACTATTACTCTCTCCAACTCTGGATAGTCAGCAGCCATTTCATGCATTAATGTTTCTAGTAAGTCTTTGTTTTTGAATTTTTCTACATCTTCTTTTCTAATTATATTAAAATATTTTAATATACAAAAATTATATTTATTAATAAGTAAGAATAAATACTTACGTAATTTTAAAATCTGCAGTAAATAACAAGTGTCCCAATAGTTTAATGCTTTTTGGCCAGCTCAACATTGAAATTACTCTTTTTATAGTTATATCAACTGGTCTATCACCTAGATAAATGTGGCTGTCATATTTTTTGGCCTAAATTTTAATAAAAAATATATTTAGTTACATACATGTAAATCATATTAAGAAAAATTGTGATTAATTAATACTTCAACAACAGCTCTACGAAATTCACCACCGGGTATCATGCCAAGATCACGAGATATATTTGCTGATATATTTATCATCAGTTGATAAAATATACCTTGAGTGAAGCCTAATTTTTTTATTGATCCTTTCAAATCCTCTATAAAAATCAAATTATAAATTTAAATTAGTTATGTTATTTCAAGTTGCAATTAAGTGTTATAATCATGTTTTGATCTCAAGAGGTGGATATGTGTGATGTACTAATATAAACATAGGGAATGATAACTGTTATAGGTATTATATATTTAATTGTTATTAATAGGGCCTGGAACTTGATGCATTTGCATTTTTTTCTTTAATTCTAATGTGATGCTAATATCCATAGAAATTTGATTTATGGATTATAGAATCTAATGGTATAATTTTTATTTTGCATTTTTATGAAATTTTATGCTTTACACTTTACAGTCATTTAATAGTATTTTTTCTGCACTTTATTCATTTTAGTACTTTTTTTTTTTTACATAGATTTGCATTTTTTTTCGTTGATACTTTATTATAACATATTCAGTTTCGATTAGCTTGTCAATTATCGATGTTCATTATCTTTATCGTTAAAAATGTATTATTTACACAGATGTTCTGGAAAAATTCAATTATAGCACTATTTCAGATTTCATTATTTCTTAACTTTTTGATAGAGCACTTCATATTATTTGGCTAAATGAAATAAAACACAACAACGTATTGTTTTTTTTTTTTTTTTATGTGACATGCATTACACATGGTGAAAGCAGGCAAATGTATTAAAAGTATTTTATTTTAAAATGTTACATGTAACATGTGTAGCACATGCACTACATAGAGTAATGGAGGAAATAAGAACATATTTCCCAAAAGTTGATCAACTCATTTCAATTGGGGAAAAAATATTTTTAAAGACTCCTTCAAGAGTAAATATTTTCAAATAAATTGTGCCTACTATACCATTACCATACCACAACTAGTACTAACTAGATGGGGAACATGGCTACTAAATATGTACTAACATTTTTTTTACCTATAAAAATAACTTAATTGGAGTATATAATATATAGTTTAATTAAATAAATTTATAATTTAAATAAAAACAATATTAATTAATTTTTTCAGTAAAATATACATTTTTAGATCATCAAGTCTCGGGTCTCAGTTATTAGAAACAGATATTTATAACTTGTGACTTAAACAATATAATCATTAACTAAACATTGATTATGTTCAATTAAGTAAACTAGACGACAAATATGGACCCCTTCCCAATTAAAATGATAATCAAATAACAAATTTTAGTAGGCATTAATATAGATATTAAAAATTAATAATCATTACTATTTGTATGTGCAAGTACAAAATATTTCACTGAAATTTTTAATAATGAAATAGAATCCTACATGTATTTTTACCAGATTTCATAGTATTAAAATGTATTTTAATTTAAATGTTTCTGCTATTAGACTTTGCTATTAACTTAGCTGTTACAAGAGGATCACACACTGCTGGATAAAAACTGTAGTAAATTCTCTTTTTAAATAAAGTATAAATAAACAGATAAGTGATGATTCTAAACATTGAATTTTTCAATTATATTTAATATTAATGAAATGATTAATGATTTTGCACCAATCAAGAAAAGAAAAATTAAATTAATCATATATTGTTATGTATTTTACATTAAATAAAAGGCTCTTAATTATTTTAATTTATTGCTTAAATATTTATGCTAAAATATTATTAAAATTAAATGTCTAAGAAATATAAAAGAATCTCTATACTCAACAAATTAAATGCCTGAGGTCACAAAATAAGGTCTCTCTAGTCTTAAAAAATATTCAAATTATTATTAATAAGATTATTTGTAAAATTTTTAAATATGTTTATTAATTTTTGCATTTTATGTGAACTATATATTGTTTTATTTTAAATTATTTTTATTTTTGCCATGGTATTACTCATGTGCAATACTTAAATTATTTAAGTGGTTTGATTAAAAATACCTACTCTATGATCTAATCAGGGCAGAATTAATTTTATTTACTAAATATTAATAAAATATTAAAATACAATCAAATAAAATAAATTTATAATTAATATTAATTATAAATATATTCAATGATATAGGCTGTTTCATTATATACATAGTCTTCACTAGTATTTGTTTGTTGTGTATATTGATATATCATTGAATTCAAATGTAACACACAATAAAAGTGATCAACCCTACACTTGATGAACAGCAAAGCAGTGCCAACTTGTCTACTCTACCTTTTTATATTTATATGTATTTTACTTAAAGAGGCCAAAGTTCTTCTTAAGTAGGTAAAATGTATATCTTATATTACAAAATAAGGCGATCAATAGTTCATCACAGGATATTGTTTACTTGACTTTAGTTATGCAAAATTCCATTAAAAAATCAATCGATAATATAAATACCTAATGAAATTCCTTTAACATTGGCAATAGTCGATTCATCAATTGTTAATATGCTATTCCTGTTATAGCACAATTCTATTACAACAACATCTGGTTTGACCGCATTTATTACCTATTATTCATAAGAAAAAACACAAAAATATAAGTAAATATTACGTATTTTGTATTTTATATCATAACATACTTGAGCAACATCTTCTTGGCTTTCTTCGCTAAAATGAGCAGTACCAACAAGATAAACTACAGAACCATTTGATGACTTTAGTACTGTAACAGTGTCTGGAAAAGTAACTTGATCTACCATTTCAAACGTTTTAAGTAACTCAAATAAAAATTAAATTTAAGTAATTGAAATGAAATTTCAAAAAAATAAATATTTTAATACTTAACAACAGTTGAAATTATTCTTCTAGTACAAATAAGAAGGTAATCTACTATAGTTAGTGACCAGTATATTAGAGAAATCTTCTCATAATAAGTTTACTGTTTGGAATTATGTTATTAGTTCAGCCTACCAAGTTACTACAATATTAGTACTACAGCAGTTAGTACTAATGTTTAATCTACTTTAGTACTTACAAGACACAAGTGAAAAGTGAAGAGATTGTTTTTATTTTAAAATATTACATTTTTAAATATTCATATCTTATCAGATATCACACGACACGTAATTATTGTTTACCAAAGAACTTCTAAATAATTAAGTTGTTTCTAGTTGTGGCGGGAATTATGAATACTGAAAATTCCATTCTGTCAATAATGGTAAGCGTTTGAATTTATCAACTATTTAAATAACATAACTACATAACTTTTAATTTATAACATTGATACAGATGGCAGCAATTAATATCTAATGTTGTTTTATATATTAGATCAGTTTTATGAAGCTTAATAAACAAATGACTTATATTTGATAATCACGGAACACTGATTGGCCACAATTTAAGATTGTCCATTTTAAATAGTAGAAATAGATGACATGCTCAATACACGGACCACAATATAAAAGATAGGTAGTGATTATTACGACACATAGTATTGATGTTGCAACGTGTACATTAGTACATTACTGATGTGAATGTTGAATAACAATAAAATAATAGAATACAATTGAGTTTTGTTATTAAACATAACAGATTCATTCCAGTTTGGTTGTAGATTACTGCGTACTGTGGAATAGGAAATATAGAAATAGTGGGCATAAAATGTTTCAAGTCCATATCATTTTTCTTAAATAAAATTTTAAAACATTATTATAGAAAGTATAACCATATAATATGTGCAATTTATGTATATATATATTTGATTATTACTTATAAAAAACAGAAAATTGGTATATTTTAATAAAAAATTTTAAGTAAATATTAGTATATAAATTTAAGTTACAAATTATTTCATAAATTTATCAGCACATTTTTTTAGTATTTTACATGATTCTTTAGCATGCATGAATAATGATGTAGTTTCTTCTATATCTTTTTTTAATATTGAACCATGACCATTCATCTTGGCATTTTGGGATGATGGAGTCAATAATTGAATAGCATACCTGATAAAATTTAAAAACCAATTTAATTTATATTAATAAATAAATATCACACATATAAAAACAAAAACATTTCATGTTTTTTAATTACTTAAAGACATTTTTAAGTTTTTAGAACATTAAAATGAATAATACATTTTTATACTAATTGAAATATGCTTTATATACATCAAAGATTTTTGAGAGACCTTACTCCTTAATACCCTATTGTTATATAACCATAGTTGAGAAGACAATTTTTTTGGTTCATACAAGGTAAAATCATATTTATACTTTACATATGATTATTTCATTAAATATAAAATCTGGTCAGTTAAACGTTATAATTCAATAAGACGTTACTCAGGACACATGTAACACCTCAGTCTCAGAGGGAGATTTCAAATTGAATTGTAAGTCAGAAACTATATAAGAGGGGACATACCTTATGATTTTACTACCTATTTTACACCAATTCTCTGTAATTTAGGAGAGCTCTAGAATAAAATAAATATGGTACCTGATTTTAATAGTAGACTACATTTTGAATTATTTATCAACTAAAAAAATGTTCTTTATAAGTAGAAAAAATATTATACATGATGAAATGAGAAAAATCTTATACTTTCTCATGTTTTTTTTTTCATAGGAACACATAGAGCATAAGATATAGACAGTACAAAAATATAATTTTATCTGTAACTATATGGTCTTAATACTCTTAAATTCTATGATCTGTATATTACAGTCCTAAAATTTAAGGCTGTTTGTTTGTACTATAAACCTTGATACATTCATTGTGAACATCAAATGGAATCCATTAACATTAATTTGCATGTTCTGAATGTGGAATAACACAAATTGATGTCATCCAATTTGTTATTAAATGCATCAATATATACAGTCAATTCTCGATAATTTGAAGTAAATGTTCGTTCTCTTGGAAATCTCGAGGTAATTTGAATAAAAATCAATCATTTAAGTATACAGTATACACAGTAATTCAAAATTTAATTTTGAGAAAATTGGCCACTAAAACGTGATAATTCGAAGTTTTATCTGTTCAACGTTTGGAAATTCAAAGTATATTTATCAAATGTTATTTTTATAATCTTTTAGTTTATGATTTATTATACAATCATGTAGAAATTAAGCTTATTGTTTTTGATAACTATAGAATTATTATCATAAGCATTTCATTTCTTAACTTATAATAATAATAATTTAATTTACATTTTAAAAACAATAAATAACTGTAATACCATCTAATTTTTTTGTAATATTTAATAATTATGTAAGTACAATAATAAAAAAAAACAAATTTTTTTTTGTTCTTTCTATATTTTAAATTACTCAGCAATTTGAACTCTTGATAACTCAAAATTTTTCAAGTCAAATCAACTTCGAATTATCGAGATTTGACTGTATATTAAACTATTAGTATTTTGTAATTGTCTACTACAAGTACTATTTCATATGTATATGTGTGCAAGTCATATATTGACATTTTAATTTTTTGTTTGTAACCACCTGGGTAATTTAGTAACACACGATAAATCTTAAATCCTAACCTAACCATAACCATTAAGATAAATGGTATCTAGCAGTAACTTTCCTAACATAAAAACCCCATTTTTTTTAAACATTAAAAACAAATATACTCAAATGACCAATAACTAACGTTATAAAGCTTATTATATGAATACATGTACAAATATATCTCGATAAAATGCAAATGGAGGATAAGGGTCAATTCTAATGTGAGACAAGTCTAGATTGTGCATACAAACACAGAAATAAAATTACCGTAGAGTAGTAGAAGTTCCAACTTCGGCAAGATAATGTAATGCATCAGGTTCAATCGAGTGGCCTTCAGTTTGAGCTCTAAGTTTAAGTATACTTTCCATTTCTTCCCGATTATATGGAAGAGTTCTAATTATTAATAATCTATCAAGTAAATCCATAGGAATTCCATGAGGAGCAACAATATCATCTGTTCCCCTGTAAAAAGTATAGATGATAAAAATAAATGGTAATGATTAATGAGTAAGTAAATATCAAACCTGACAGTACAGTGACCTCTATTGGTAGCAAAAATAACAATAGGAGCAATAGTACTTTCTAGTGCTTTATGCAAGTATGTGAATGTTTCCAAATCAAGCATGTGAACTTCATCTATAAATAAAACTCCTGGGACCAATTCAGCAATACCCTGATCAATATATTTATTGACCACTTTATTAATTTCCTTTCTTAGTTTATCTAAAATAAAAAAAAAGGTTATACATATGTATATAATTTATACTTTTAATATAACTTTACCAGTAATTTCTGTCTTTTTAGACTTCATTAATTGACCCATCATTGAAAGTATATCTTGGCCACCTTTTGGTTGAGCATTAGCAACATCTAAGTCATGTAATGTCACATCTTGAATAACTTCCTTTTTTTTATGAACTTCACCTTTTGGTAAAGGTACATATTCTTCTGCCTAAATAAAAACATGAAGTAAAAACTATCGTTTATAAATCATGGACATTTATATATTGATAACAGTTAAGAAGAGAAGTTATTTCATAATTAGTTTTTTTTTTTTTTTTAAGTGTAAATAACTAAGTATTGTCATTAAAAAGAAATTTATACTACAATACATTTAAAAAACTTAGATTTTATAATTAGAAATTTTAAACATTTTTAGGTCTTTAAGTTGACTAAAAAATTGAGTTTTATATTAAACAAATCATACTACTTTAAACTTAACTTTTTAACTTCTTAATATTATTTTATAAAATACCTCTAAATCATATTCTGTAGCGTAACTATCACTTCTTCCTTGACGTTTAACTGCTCCACTATTAGCTTCAATATAAATAACATCACCAGTTTCGACCTTTTCTTTTTGTAAGGATTCATAAATTGTAGGATCTAGTTTTAATTGTTTTGTACCTTTGGCTGTCTTTAATCCAACAATAACATGTGATACGGTCTTAGAATAACCTGTTGGTAAAATTATTCAAGTCACACTTTTAATATTGTATGCACAAAAACTATCTTAGATAATTTAAAGATTTAAATTTGCGACAACAGTTAAGTATATAAAATTACAAATATAAATGAAATAATATAAAACAACTAATAAACCAAGAAGCTGACGATATATGAAAAAGCATTGTTCTACACTAGTTATAATAATTAAGTTCATTTGTAAATGTAACCATGTACATAAAAATTGAAAATAATAAATTAAAGTTGTATTTAACTTAAACACTTTAACAGAGATGATAAATAGATAAATTAAACAATTTTAACAAATAATAAATAAATTATAAATTGCATAAGTTTAATATTATCATAACCAAAAATTGAAGGTCTTTTATAATTCTCTTAATTATTTTATGGATTGGTCCATCTTAGGAATATTTTAGCCTCCTCCCTAGATGCAATCAAATTTTTGTTTTTAAACTAAATTCTTAATAAAGTATTTTAAAATTTTTTTTGTTAGTAACATGAGGCATGTTTAATTTGTGTTTTGTAACACTATATGACTAACTGAGGGCATTTAAGGGTAGCAAAATGGTCATAGATTTCAGTTTTTGATTAACAATAAAGATTTATAATAATATTTACTGTATTTATTATAATATTATTATATGTTATAATAAAGAACCACAAGTAAATGTCAAATTATTGAATTTTTGCGGTATAATCATATTGTTATATTAATAATAATTTAATAATTTACTTTTAACTACAGGTATTTATATATATAACTATATACAATTGTAAGAGGTTTTTACGACCGCACTAACCGAGAAAATTACTGAATCGATTTGGCTGAATTTTTTTACTGTTATACCTGAGTCTGTTGAAGGTTTTAGTACCACTATTGATAATAAAAAAGTAAAATAAATGAAGAAAAATAGGAACTTTTACACATATCCAATATTATTATTAAAATTATTGTTTTTTTAACCATGGTTACCATTAAAACACGTATAAGTTATTATAATTATACGGAATGAAATCTCAAAATTATCTAATTTAATTTAAAGATATTATCTGTTTATTTATACCATGCATTTATTCACACTATTTAATGGTAAGATTTAATTAACTCAAAAGTTAATAATAATTTATCATTTTTCCCATTTAAGCCTGGCTGTAAATGATGAATTTGAATAAGATGTTTAATTTTACCTCCTGCAGTAGAATCAGTTTCAACTGGTGTCATTTCAGTTACTTCTCCTTCATATACTTCTTTTGTTTCTTTAATACGAAGACCAATAGCACGACGGAAGTTTTCCATCAATACTTCTGTCTTTTTAATCTCAGAACTATATACTTCAGATCCCACCATTGGACAAAATGGAACCTAATAATTGAATAATTAATATTTTTAAAATAAGAAGTCACAATATTTTAGTTGATAAAATTTATATCTTCAATACATATAATGTATTTATTTATTTAATAAAGATAATCAACACTTACTTTATTTCCAAGTTCATGAGCAATTGCAAGAGCAATAGCAGTCTTGCCTGTACCTGGAGGTCCAGCAACTAAAACAGCACGGCCAGACATTTTCCTTGTCCTTATCATATCCACAACAATACCTGCAGCCTAAAGATTGAAATATTATTAGTCAGTTGATACTAATCTAAAGCTTAAATTCAAAATGTAGTTGCATTAATTTAATAATAGGAATATTAAGTAATCAATATTATTAATGATCATAACTAAATGGTTGACATACACAAGATTAAAAAAAAAATTAAAATCTCTAAGCCAGGTCTACATTCAACAACAAACGCATTATTGACTTAAAACAAACCACAATATTTATACCTGTCTAGCATCTTCTTGTCCTACTAATCCAGAAGCCATTTGAATAGCTTCGCCGCAATCATCAAGCCCCAATCCTTTTACATGGCTGTGGCTTGATATACGTTGGGTTTTTACAGTACTTTTTACTTCTTCGATTTTCATGGTGAAAAATTTTAAAACTCAATATATCAAAATGTTTAAAAAGTTTGAATAACTAACAGTTGTTATATCATAATACAAATAGAAACTAAAAAGTAGTAAGGTCAAAGAAAATAATATAGTTTTGTAATACACTTTTAGTTTGTAATATTCACCTCGTGCAGTCGTGCAGTCATACTATCGAAAAAGCGCGTATCGTTAAGTTTATCAGTAATACCATGGGAACCGGCATTTTTCATGGTGTACAAAACTACAGCATCATTGTCCAGTTTTATTTCTACTCCACGGCCCTCATATGTTTTCTTTTCATTATTCCTGATATTTTATTCCAAGATCTAGTATCTTTATACATGTCATTATCATTATCATTATGAATTACGATTATTTTCTATAGTTGGTCTTACGTCCAAAATTCGCAAAACTTTTTTGCCGACTGTCAGTGTTTAATCAATAGTTATTGTCAAGTTATTTTTGCACCGTCCGGATCTTTAGGTTCCGCAAAATGTCAGACAGTGAAGAGAATGCAAAAACTATTACAGTGACTGTAAAAACGCCCAAAGAAAAGCAAACAGTCGAAGTGCAAGAAAACGCTACCATTAGTGAAGTATGTATATTGATATAATATACACGTATGTATTGTAGTGATTAGAGTTAGTATATTATATACGTGCTTAAACATTTTCCAAAATATTTGATTTTTATATGTTTGACGATTAATGTTATTCATAATTTATTTATGGTATTACAAATAAAATAATTATTCATTTAAGTTTTTAAGGTTATGTAATTATTTCAGCTGACTCATTTTACAATCTTTAATTATTAAAATATTTGTTATTTAAACTATTAAACTTTTGGTTAAGTAATAGATACCTACATAGTAAATAATTATTATTAACGATAACCATAACTAATATGATAATTATTAATTAAAATATTGTAACCAAGCTACTTGCGAGTAGTAGATTGATGCATTTATTTTATTATAAAATAAAAGAATTTAACATTAATTGATAGTTGAATTACATAACCAAATTAAGATTTATTGATATTTAGACTAATATATTATTAAAATCTGTTTATGCTTAGGTTGGTATTGAAAGTAAATAACATTAATAATACAGACATTGGTTTATTAAATAATTATACATACAGTATAATATTCAATGTAAAATATAATTTCTAATTACTAAGGTTCCTAATAATACTAAATAATATTTATTATATTTTTTAATAAATATTATTACATTTTTTAAATTAAACATGGTAGGTATGATCAATTTAAATTGATTTAAACATAATTAAAATACTAAAATCTACTTCTTATAGTTCTACGATCGTTGCATAGGGCATAATCTATAGGTATTTTAACAAAAAACAAGATATTAAGTTTTATACCTTTATTCATTTGCATGATGCAGAGGCAGATCCAGAAATTTTCCAAGGGTGAGGATGTATAGAAAGTAAAAAAAAAGATAATCAAATAAAAAATGCTCAACCCAATAATATTTTATTTTTTATTTAATTTTCGCCACTTTCGCCCTCCTTATTGGATCTGCCCCTCATATGGTGAATTTAAACAGTGGTCTGTTTCAATTTTTTTAAAATTATTTCTTGAACTTAGTTTACTAAACAATTATTACCAGACATAAAATTAGCTATAATTCATTAACTTTTAGTTAATAATGAATCAATAATTGACCAATTAGTTTTTGAATAATACATGTGATTGATTTTTATTGTTCACTGTTTACATTTGTACTTAAACCAGACCGTAGATTTTCATTATATATAACATCTATATATGCTAATTGTAAAATAAAAAATAACATTAGTTGCATTAACTAACCAAACTGTAGTTAGTTCAAATTTTTTTTCTAAGATTTGAATAAAAATACGCTAAATTAACTTCAATCAAATAAAAATCACACTAATTATGTATTATAATTTTAGTATCAATTATATTAGTAGGTGCCTAAATTAGTTTTAAATTAAAAACTTTGTAATTAGTAATTATTATGAATACTTATATCAAAATGTACTAAAATATAAAAATAATTAAATGTTTATTTTTGTATAAACTATATTTTATAATAAATTATAAAGGTGTGCTGAGTTTAACCTGATTTAATCTGTTCCAATATGTTTATTATTTTAATACACTTGAAATAGCATAAAATACAAAAAATTATCTTTTATATATTACAAATACATGTATTATACATATTTACAGTTTAAAGATGTGGTTGCTAAACAATTTAACGCACAACCGTCACAATTATGTTTGATATTTGCTGGTAAAATCATGAAAGATCAAGATACATTAGCAACTCATAATATTAAAGATGGACTAACAGTGCATTTAGTTATCAAGACTAATGCGCCTCAAAACAATACAACCACTTCTTCATCTACAAATACAGGATCGACTCAACCACCAAGACCTCCTGGTGCTTATAATTAATATTTTGTTTTTAAATCTTGTTAGACTTAATTTTATTTGTAATTTTTAGCTGATATTAATGCTTCTCCATTTAATTTGGGTATGCTTGGTGGCTTACCCGGTATGGAATCTATGGGATTCACTTCAGCTAATTTCATGGAGTTGCAACAACGTATGCAGCGTGAATTGCTTGATAATCCTGATATGTTAAGAAATTTGGTTGATAGTCCAATGGTTCAACAAATGATGAGTGATCCTGCACATATGAGACAATTGATTTTGGCTAATCCGCAAATGCAACAATTAGTTGAGGTAGGTACCTAATTGATAACATTTTTTTTGTAATTTCATTTTTTTATTTTATTTTTTTATTTTGATAGAGACATCCAGAAATAAATCATATGTTAAACAATCCTGAAATGTTACGGCAAACTATGGAGATGGCTCGAAATCCATCAATGTTACAAGAACTGATGCGTACACAAGATAGAGCTTTATCAAATTTGGAATCAATACCTGGTGGATTTAGTGCTTTACAAAGAATGTATAGAGATGTTCAAGAACCATTTATGAATGCAGCTACTGAAGAATTTAGCCGTAATACATTTTCAACTCCAAGTGAAAGTGGTGGTGGTAATAATAAATACTTTATTTAATATTAATTCGTATATTTCAATATAATATTACAAATATTAGAAACGATTTTAGGTAAATACTATTTGTTTAAAAAAAAAAAAATAGAAAATTATCCTTTGTAGGTAAAAATTATTGAAACTTTATTATGTATATATTATTAACTTCCTACTCCTATATTTAGTTATAGTTTAAATATTATAATCTATGAGACTTTCACTTGTAGGCTGTATTATACTTAATGGGTAAATGAAAACAAATAGCAATTATTTATTATTGAGTAATAAATAATTGTGTTTAATATTATGTAATGTATTTTATTTCAGAACAAAATCCTCAACAAGGACAGGAAAATCGCGATCCTTTGCCAAATCCTTGGGGTGGTTCTACTGGAACTAACCAATCTGATACTTCTAATGGAAGAGCAGCACCAACATCAGGTAATCTACCAACTGGAGGAACTGGAGGTACCTTGTTTAATGGGGATACAATGAACTCTATGATGCAACAAATGATTGAAAATCCACAAGTTATGCAAAGTATTATGAATACTCCATATTTTCAATCAACTTTGCAAGCAATGACTAGCAACCCCAATATGGCAAACAACTTGTTAAGTAACAATCCATTGCTTGCTAATAATCCAGAACTTCAGGTAAAAAAATTTTAATAATTATTGTTATAAAATATTTATTGATTAATTAAAAAAATATTCTTTTTAGTCTCAATTCCGTAGTATGATGCCAGCGTTCCTGCAACAGATGTCAAACCCTGCAGTTCAAGATATGTCCACTAATCCAAATGTATTATCTGCTCTTGATCAAATACAAAGAGGCCTTGAAGCACTGCGTACTAACATGCCAAATATTGGAGGATCATTGGGTGGCCAGTCTTTTTTTCCAACACCAAATGCCAATACAACTACTAATGCTGATTCAACTGTATCTAGTGATATGCCATCAACTGAAGGTCAAGATAATAATTTTGCTGAACTCATGAGAAGAATGGTAAGTTAGATTATTTTATAATTATTTATTTTTCTATTAACTACATAACTAATGTCTAGCAATAATTTTATTGATATTAAAAATTTTCCTTTAATACTAACTGGTTAATATTGAGATTTTTTAAATTATTGCAATTAAGCATGTAATTAGTTTGAAACTATTACGTCTAAATATAATTTTTATTTAAATATTTGCATCGCTTCGTTAAAATATTAAAATGTTTTCCTTATTGGTGTGGATTATTCATAACAATTGTTTTCTTTATCTAACTCATATTATGTTACTTCATTTATTATTTTAAAATATGTATGCTTAGTTCTTAGTTTTTTATTTAGTTTTAAAAAATAAATGACCCTTTGATTTTATTTATATTTGTAGTTATCGCAAGTGCCAAATAACAGTAATCCAGTGGCAAATACTCAACCACCAGAAGAAAGATACAGTTCACAATTGGAACAATTGTCTGCAATGGGATTTGTCAATCGAGATGCCAATTTACAAGCATTAATTGCAACATTTGGAGATATAAATGCCGCTGTTGAACGGCTACTTACTAGTGGACAATTGTCCACTTAACATTCCAAAGTAATAAATAAATATAATACATATTTTAATTTTTGTAAATCCAAAAAAAAAAAAATAGTTTTTGGTTCAGTCCTACGAATTTATGCATTTCAATTCTTAAGTTTTGGTGCCACAATAACCAAATTTGTAGACATTATTTCTTTAAAAAACACATAATTTGTTATACTTGAATAAATAAATAATTATTTAGCCTTTTAAACCCTTATGTATGTTTTGACTAAATTAATGAAAATCAATTTACTTGTTATGAATGGTATAATATAATATTTAGAAATTAAATGTTTTATTATTCAGTCTGAAATTATTTCACTATAATTTATGGAAGAAAATAGTAGTGCTACTTTGTGTTTGCTTTGATATCATTAAATAGAATCCATTGTTTGGTGTGAACTTTTAGTTTTAAAATTTAATAAATTATTATTATTATATAATTTTGGTTATGTAAAATAAATATAATATATGTACTAATTATTCAATTGGTTATAAAACAAATGGTATGGTTAATTAAATTTGAATTTTTTT